GCAAGCTGTCTCCAAGTCAACCAACACCAATCACTACTGGTCGGTATAACGGAGACCTGGGCTCACTCGGGGATGTCTGACACCGAACTGAAAAAACCCCGAGCTAGACATTCTGCGACAGGACAGAACAGACGGTATGGGTGGAGGATGTGCCCTTTACATCAACAGGAAGCTAACGTCTGTGAGGATCATGGATCCTGTACTAGAAAAAGGACCGAGAGCGTCTGGGCAGCCATAAGACTGAACGGCAAAAGGAAATGCCTGGTAGGCGTTCTCTAAAGGCCACCAAAGCGCTCACAGTCGATAAAGTCTGCCATTATCGACGCACTAAAGAACGTCATGAGGTTAAACTATCACCACGTTCTGATAATGGGGGATTTCAATTTACCGGAGATCTGCTTTAGTACGTTGACCTGCCAAGTGGGACCTGGATCTATATCCTCATTCANCTCATTCAGCTTTGACACTGTGATAGACCTAGGGTGGGACAAGCACGTCCGGCTAGCAACCCAGTGGAACGAGAACTCGAGACCTTCGGCTCTAGATTGGGTTCTTACCAACGAACCTCACCTGATCGACCAGCTAGATGTTTTTATACCACTGGGACTCGGCGACCTTGGAGTCATACGATTCAGATTCGTACACAGCACAGAACTGATACGGTCGACAGGGTCCACTCGCCGGAGCTTGCGTAAGGCCGACATTCCCGGTATGCGAGCCTTCCTGAAATCAGCCCCATGGTCCCTTAACCCTTCTTGCGTCAACGATCATTGGAGCGAAGTAAAGGAGATCCTTCCCGAGGCCATGGGTAGGTTTGTACCACGGACACAGGTTCGACCATTCAAACCGAAACAGCGACTGCGTCGCCGTACTATTAAGACCTTGGCACGGAAAAGACGCACGTGGAACCAATATCAATGGTTCCAGAGCTCCCAGGTTTACGAAGCCTACGTTGAATTACGCAACCAATGTAACCTACAAAGAAAGCAAGGCACCAGCGAGCACCAGAGGCAGTTCTTAAACCGGGTCATTGCAGACCCCAGGAGTTTCTATAGGGACATCGCCATGGTAACCCAGGCGAAACCCGGGTGGACCCCTTACGGATGACAACAAGGCTGCAGCTAACAGCCTGTCTGTGTACTACTCAGCAGTGTTCAACCCACAACTTGTTAGTGGGACAGACGGAAGGGGTTTTCCCGCAGTAGACTCCATACCCAGCAGGTTCATGGAACCTTTGTCGTTTTCCCCGGCACAGGTCGGACTAAAACTGCCACGTCTTGTAGCTGAAAAGTCACCGGAACTTGATGAGATACCACTCATCTTGCTGCAGAAGTGTTCATAGCAGTTAGCATTACCCCTAAGCAGACTGTTCAACCACTCTATGAGAGTTGGCGCGGTCCCGTACGAGTTGAAGACATGCGTGGTCTCTCTTATATTCAAGTCGTGGGACCGAACCTTACCAAACAACTATCATCCGGTAGCCCTGCTTCCGGTGGTCTCAAGGGTAATGGAGGGACTCACTGACGAAAAAAATCAACGAGTTTGTCGAGCAGAATCGTTGCTTGCACGATGCCCAGCACGGGTTTCGTGAGAAGCGATCCTGCCGAACCAACCTTATTGAAACCATGGAGTGGTATACATGTTCTGCGGTCAGAGGGGGCCGACCTGGAAAATCTGTCGTGGATCGATAAGTTCGCAATTTTAAGTTTTATAAGTGTTTTCCCGTACATCATTGCATATATCCTTAATTGTTACCACCCTAAACTAACACTATTCCATCTTATTCCATTGCGATTTATATTTTACTAGTAAAAATACTCTTTAACCATGTATTCTGAGCTCTCTGAGTCCTCCGACGAGGACACTTTACCCATGCGGGAAATCCCCGTGTCACATGCGGTGCCTAAAACCAGCGACTGGGCTAGCACTCAGATAGCGCTAGAAGAGGCTCCAGTCGCCCTTGACCTGCAAGGTTCGATTACACACGAACTGCGTGGGAAATTCGCGTCACTAGATAACGATTTAAGTCACCTCACAGCGTTATTTAAGGATAACTTCCCAGCATGCGCTGCCACAGGCCAGGTGATCACACTATCGAAACAACAGATATTCGACACTGCAGCCGAACTAGAATCAGCGGCCATTAGCACCAAACGGATTATAATTTGGGGTAGTTTCCCCAAGTTTAATTCTCCGGTTCAAGCAACCGAAATCCTCTTATAAAGCCTTACAGCGCCATCCCTACCCAAACCAATCGGAGCAAAGTGGCTGATGTCCAAACCTAAGAAGACGAAGGTGGGAATCCTTATCACCTTCAACTCGGAATCAGTGATAGCAGACGCTCTCGCCCAAACCGAGACCCTGAAAAGGGCGTGCAACCTTGTCTGGGG